GAACCGGCAACCTTCCGACTGAGCCACGATCGCCCCGACATGTGCAATACGAACAAATCTTCGGCTGTTTTCCCCATAATCTCTTTAACCCATCATAATTACAGCAGCTCACATGACCTCGACATCATGGAGTGATTCCACTCTGTAAATACTCTTAATATCAGCCAGTTTTCAGTCTGCAGCCAACATCTAATCTAACATCTGCAGGAAGTCTTCTGATGTCCGAGCACTACAGCTGTTTTTATTTATTTATTTGAGAGACAGAAGAGTGAATCTGACTTTTTCGTCTTGTTTTCACATCCTCCATGAGACAGTTTGTTTACAGTGGAGTTCATAATTCTGCAGAAAGTCGCCCGCGTCAGGAAAAGCGAGAGCTTTTGTTCCCCACGTTATTCAGATTCACTTCTACAAAGAAGCCAGACAAACAGACGCTGCTGTGAAATTCAGGGGAGACAGAAAAATCCGTCTGGAAACAAGAAAAAGTACAGACGAAGAAGAAACAAACAGCCAGAAAGTGAGAAAGGAGAAGCTGTCAGTGACTGGACTTCACCTTTCTGCCTCTGAATGTGAGCTTGTTCTTTTTCTTGTTTTTATTCCCACAGTGATCTGGATCAGCGTCAGACCTCAGAGGTTTCATGACGTTTGGCTTCATAAACATTAACGAGGCTTCAGCGAGCTGCAGGGCTGACATTTATTTAAGGCTTAAAGATGGCATTGCAAAGGGCGCGGCCTCTCTGACTCTGTGCTGTCGAAGCATTTTAATGTAATTATTATTGTAATACTAACAAGCAGGGACATTCAGGGATCTCTGCACTGATCAGCAGGAGTCAGTGTCTGCACCGTTTGTCCAGATGTGGTCACTCAAGTCCAAAACACTCAGTAAAGCTTCAAAGTGCAAAAACCAGTGGGTGACGTCACATGAGCTACATCCCTCTTTCATATACAGTCTATGTATATTGGGGGGGCAACTGTGGCTCAGGGGGTTGGGAAGCGCATCTGTAACCGGAAGGTCGCCGGTTCGTTCCCTGAGCTCTCTGTCCTGGTCGTTGCGTCCTTGGGCAAGACACTTCACCTACCGCCTACTGGTGATGGTCAGAGGGGCCGATGGCGCGATATGGCAGCCTCGCTTCTGTCAGTCTGCCCCAGGACAGCTGTGGCTACACCTGTAGCTGCCTCCACCAGTGTGTGAATGTGAGAGTGAATGAATAGTGTATTGTAAAGCGCTATATAAATGCAATCCATTATTATTATTATTCTATGTGGACAGTCCGTGGTTCCTGCGGTTGTGCAGGAGGCTTAGAGATGATCTGACCTCAGCGACACTTCCTGAGGCGTTCAGGGTCTCAGGTCAAACTGAGAAAAGCAAAATGCATTTTGTAGGTTCTGCTCGTTCTAGTGAAGCAGGAGGAAGAAGCAGATCTTTCAGAGTCAGACTCAAACCTGACGACAGCTGGAGGTTTTTCCCTCCATGCTTCTTGTGTTGGTTTTTCATAATAAATGAAAATAAAGTGCACATCCGCTCTTATTCTAGAAGAAAGGCCAGGCTTTTTCAAATATATATATTTTTTATTGATATGTTTATTTTACTGCAGGTTTATGTGAATCTGCTCTGAACACAGCAGCTAGAAACATTTATTCACTGTGGGGACAAAATAACTGAAGTTGAGGCGTCAGACTTTCTTTTAGTCACATCACTGCAGTTTAATCTAATACCAGGCACACAGGCTGGACAGGCATCAACCCCCAGCCCTCTCGGGGTGACCGGGGGCCGCTCGGTCCACCTCCAGGATCCAAGGACAGAAACTACAAAAAGGCAACAGTCACGTTTTCTCAGATGTCTTTAAATTAAAGCACGTCACACAGCTGCAAGCGAGAAGGCAACGAGCCGATGGTTAAACTGCAAACTGCTCCTTGAGCAGCTCACATCAACCTTCCTCTGAAGCTTCATCGCTTCAGTCTCCCAGCGTTTCTTTGGTGTCACGTTACAAACAATCGGGCACATTCCTGCTGTCTCTGCTCTCAAGGCGGGTTCAGAAAATAAAAACCACGATTCAGCAAAATTAAACACAGTCAGCAGGTGTAGAAACACGTGGGCGAAGGCGAGAGAGGCGTGGCGAACATTTAAGAAAAGAACGAAGAACAAAAACGTCAGATTTTCACAATAAAGTCAAAGTACACACGTACATAAAAATCACAAAAACCTGCAAAGCTGAAAAGACGGACGTCATCAGAGCGTTTGTACAGTAGAAACCTTAAAAAACAAAACTCACTGACATTACGTAACAGCATGGTGATAAAGTCCTGATCTTTTATTGTGAAAATAAAGGCTGAAGCTCTGAGATCAAAGTGACGACGGCCAAAAACCTCGTCTTACTTTATTCCTGTGAACACGTGAAAGTTAGGAGGGAGACATTTTCAGAATAAAGTCCGAACAGTTAGCAGCGTTACAGCTTTACTCGCCGTCGCTCTTCCTGACAGCGGCGTTTCCTGCACAGTGACGCTGCATATGCGGCATCAGCGAGGCAGGAAGTCACGCATGGATCATAATGAACCGGACCGCTGCTCTGTGCCCACTCTGTGCCGCCTCTCCTCTGACTGTGGCGGAGCTCAGCTGGTGATTGCACTTCCTGTACACCTGCTGCTGGTGTGATTGGTCGCTCGTCCAGCTCACTGTGTATCCCAGGAGAGGGAGGAGCACAGAGTCATCGCCAGCTGCAGACGCAGAGACGGCGTCTGCAGGGAAACAAGCTGGGCTCAGGTCAGCAGCAGTGCAGCTTTCAAAATAAGAGCGAGGATGTTGTCCAATAGCGACTCGAGCCTGTTTGTGGGAATCTGCATAAAAATATTCAGAGCAAAGTGGAAAAATCTGTTTTCTCTGTAACAGAAAATAAAATGTAGCAAATCTGTGACTCCTCTGCTGCTGCCCGCTCGAACATTCATCCAAGTGTTTGTTGATCAGAAGATCCTGGAGCAGTCAGGAAGTCTGTCCGCTCGATACGCGTTTATGTAAAAAAAACAAAGTTTCACTAAAAACAACCAAAACGTCTGCAGATGGGCCGCGGACCACAGTTTAGAAACCACTAATCATAGGTCGAGGGTCTTTAAGCAAGGCACTGAATGAACGTGACATCACCCAAACATCCACATTAACCGCTGCCGAGGTGCTGCTGAGCAAGGCACTGAACTCCAGAGATACAGCAGCGCTTATTAATACTCGTGAGGATGAAATCCGGTGACAGCGAGTCTCCATCATCTCCATCGTCTCCACCTTCAGCTGCTCTGTGATCAGTCAAAGGTCACCCGGCGGGTCAGAGCGGAGGAGAGGACTCCACCTTCAGAGGGACGGCGGGTCGCAGCGGAGGAAGAGGAGGCCGTCTGCACAGAGGAGAGAAGACGTTACTGCTCACTAGGGCTGCCACGATTAGTCAACTAGTCACGATTACGTCGACTATCAAAATCGTCGACGACTGATTTAATAGTCGACGCGTCGTTTGAAGCTTTGTAAGATCACAAAAGACGCAGGAATAAGTAGTAGGATTTAAGAGTGTAATAACGGACTGAAACAGAAGATGGCAGCACTGCATGTACAAGGATGCCAGCTGCCGTTAAACCCCGAAGAAGAAGAAGCTGTGTCCCAGAATTCATAGCGCAGCCCAGCTCAGTTTCCAACAATGGTGGCAGCTAGTTAGTTTTAATATTACTCTTATTATTCTTTCTGGGTCACAAAATAAACGTTTAACATATTTTCAGGCGAGAATGTAGCTGTGTAAACCTCAAATATCTGCTCAGTTTATCAAGACACCACATATTTTCAAAAGCGCTCCGACGTTTTCGGAGACGTCTGTTACCCACTAGCTCGATAGCTAGCCGGGGGCTAGGCTAACTAGAGCCGTGAGAACACCGGACTCCCGCTAATCGTTTTCAAACCCACCGCCGTCTTTCGCTACTCAGGTTAAACATGATATATAAGTCACTTAGATAACTTAAAAATGTTATTGTTTGGCTTTTTTCAGTATTTTATTTGTTCCTGAGTAAATCGGTTTGGCTGAGATTAAAGTTATAGTTTTTACACAGCTGAATAAACGTCAAGCAGACAGCTGATTATCAGAAGTGTGAGATGCTCGAGAATTTACTCCGGTGTCCTGTTATATTTTAGATAGCAAGGAGTTTATTAAACTTCACCAAAACAATCTGCAAATTTCATTAAAATTTAATAAACTATCATCTTGTCTTTATTTTTAGTTAGCACAGACCTTAAACACTTAAAGCTGTAAGCTAATGATAGTTATATAAGAGCAGATGCTGCTGGTGCAATAAGCTGTACGTTTTACGTCCAATGGATGATGATCTGATCAGTCGACTAATCGCAAAAATAATCGGTGACTAGTCGACTATCAAAATAATCATTTGTGGCAGCCCTACTGCTCACGTTCACTTTTACATTAAGGCTAACATCAGAGACGGCCTTCAGCTGAGCAAACAGCTCCTGCACACGTTTCAAATTCGGTTTCAACACGTTTACATCTTTAAACCGTTTAAAAATCTCCCGAGCAAAACTAACGTCTGTGAATCTTTCTTCAGGTTTTATTGTTTGACGCTTTTTTACTTTCATGTGCTGAGAGGTGTGATGCTGAATCAAATTTGCAGAGATTCCTGAGAGTTCACGCCTCCGCCCTGCTGCATACCCGCCACAGGAAGCCGCCACCCTCACTCGCATGTTTTCACGCCCTGGCATTTGTGCAACACTTTACAAAAAGAGCAGCTTCCCGTTAAAAAGTCACAGCTGTACATGTTGAACGATTAGCTCCACTCTTCGTCTGTTGGACGAGCTGATTGGCTCAAACACAGCTGCAATTTCACTCATGATGCAAACATCGTGTCTCTCTTCCTGTCAGATTACAGGAAACGTGGGCCTCCGTGAGGGAGGAAGTACACTTACATCATCGTCTTAGATCAGAAAGCTTTAAGAAAGAGACAAAAAGCTGTCGGGTGTACCTGTTGGGTCCGGCAGCAGCAGGTGCGACTGCCCCGTGTGGCGGCGGTTTACTGTTGTAGACGGGGTGTGGCGGAAGGTAGGGGTTGGACGGCATGGCTGGAGGGCGCGGCTTCTTTGGGACTAGAGGTTTGAGTGGAACAGAAACCTGCAGAAAGAAACAAATGAGTGTCACCTGCAACTGCTCGGCTGGCTCAAAGGAAATGTGACATCACGAGGATTTCTTAAATCAAACGGTTGATTGGTTTCCTCTTTACAAATGAATCAGCTGCAGCTTTGAAACTTACCAAGTCTGAAATGAAAAACAGGTGATTTCATCCAATCAGGAGCCTGCATGCCCAACGCTCATCTGCGTTCCTGAACGCCTCATTAATGTTGGGCATGATTCCAGCCAACCAATCACATCACACCCTCACACAGCCAGTCTGACCATCAGCTCTCAGTAATCACAGTGATCGATCCATCCCATCACCATTTCAGCTCTTAGCACTACTCTAAGCTCTCTATGTGCTAGCAGCTAGCAGCATGCAGGGAGGGCGTACCTGTCCAGGTGTGATGGGGTCAGGGGGGAGAGGCTTGTTGGGCGGAGCTGGTCGACTCACCAGCTGCTGGAGGGTTAGCGAGGAAGAAGAGAGGAAGAAGAGTGAAGCTTCAGCAACAAAGACGAGGACACGTGAGGAGGAAACAGAGCACAGCAGGTGGCGAGAACTCGAGGTCGTTGAGCTTTATTTTGAAATTCTCTGTTGACTGACGTGAAACCGAGACGTCTGACTCACTAATGAGATGTTATTTCATATCAGACTGACAGTGCAGCATGCAGGCAGGAATTAATAACAGGGGAACCAAAGAAAAGGGTCAGGCAGATGTTTCACCTGCTGATTAGCACCATGATCCTGGAACTTCAGATTAAACTGACCACCTGCTGCATTAGGAGAGGTGTGAGGGGGTATTTTTATTTCTTATTTATGTTTTTTGATTTAAATATTTTAGAGTTTTATGACTCGACTGGAGCGGCGGGACCTGAAAATGAAGCACCAGCAGCTGCAGTTCCTCTAACATCCAGCAGAGGCAGCAGTGAGTCAGTCACAATTCTGTTCATTTGTATTTAAGGATTAAAGTTTGCACTTTTAGGGGCGTGGCCTCTTTGACTGACAGGTATCTGCTAGCTTCACCTGAACTGGACCTCTGGACGTGTTTGTGCTGCTGGCGCCTTTTTATTGACATCATCCAACCAATAACATGGCTGCTGTGAGGTCACCAAGAAGGCGGAGCTCCAGTTTTGCTGAGTCATGGATTCTGTTTGAACTTCAGCGCTACATCAGCAGTGACAACACGTTCCAACACACACACACAC